ATAGTGATGTAGATGACCCAGGGAAGGGTCAGCTGACCCAAACTGTCCTGTGAACGTTTTCACAGATCAGAATAGTGATGTAGATGACCCAGGGAAGGGTCAGCTGACCCCAACTGACCTGTGAAAGTTTTCACAGATCAGAATAGTGATGTAGATGACCCAGGGAAGGGTCAGCTGACCCCAACTGACCTGTGAAAGTTTTCACAGATCAGAATAGTGATGTAGATGACCCAGGGAAGGGTCAGCTGACCCCAACTGACCTGTGAAAGTTTTCACAGATCAGAATAGTGATGTAGATGACCCAGGGAAGGGTCAGCTGACCCCAACTGACCTGTGAAAGTTTTCACAGATCAGAATAGTGATGTAGATGACCCAGGGAAGGGTCAGCTGACCCTAACAGATCAGAATAGTGATGTTAGCTATTTTTCACATTCCTTATAGCGGATTTACCAAGGGGTTTACGGACAAGAGCTATGCTGTGAAAAAATCCACAAATCAAGCTGGTGAAATTGACACCGGTTTCAATCCTCTAAGTGTCCAACTTTTGGAGCTATAGGCATTATAAAATTTAGAGTCGCAACGAAAAAAAACCTGATTTCGGCCAGGAGGACAGCGTCACCTGAATTCACAAATCACGGAGAACGACACTCGGTTTTATTTGCATGTCTATGACAGCGCGCTGCGTATTTATAGCCAAAAGAAATCTGAATATCACCCCGCAAACTATCTTTACTGCGGTGTCAGACCGAGCATGCTTACCCTGAAACTGAGTCCAGTCCATGATCACTGGGACAGGAACTGGAGCCGATCAATAACAAATCAGTTTTAAATTATTATCCAAACATTGGCATCCAAAAACAAAACAAAACAGCAAATAGTCATTATAAATCACTACTTTAGGCGAAGTGTTTTTAATAAAATAAACAACACAAACCTCTCTTGGCTGAAACTATCATGGCTCCACTCCTCATTCAGAGTCCACACTTTGCTTTTGCTGCATTTCTGTACTTTACCCTTCTCCTCCATACTGTACAGCTGTTTGTTGATGGTTTGTTTCGGCTGTCCCAGGTCTGTGGCGATCTGATGGGCTTTTAAACCTCCTGATCTCTTCAGCAGATCCTCCACATCTTTCTCCTCGCTTGTGTCTCTGGTCGTCTGAGACTTTAGCTCTGGTTTGATCTCATTCTTCTTCTCCATAAGGCCCCAAACAGGAGGCTGTTCGTCAGTTTTGAACACCTGATTTGATCTCTCTAGGTTGTACAGATGTTTGTTTACGGTGGATTTATCTAGTCCGATTTCTTTAGCAATTATCAAAGCTGTGCTTTTGCCATTTCGCCTCAAGAAGTCACAGATCTCTCTCTCCATTTCAGTGTCGGCAGGCATTTTGCTTCTGTCCGCAAGGTATTTAATGCAGTTCAGATGCTGTCAGAGTGTTGTCTTCTACCTTCTCTGCTCGGTCTAGAGACTAAAAGGTTCATAAGTTCGGCGTCGGTATTTAAACCAGCCTTCTTTAGCTTTCTGTCTCGATTCAATCTCGCGTTCCTCAGCGTGACATGTTATAACCTGGTTATAACACGCCCAGCTCTAGGTTTCGAATCGTCACTATCATACACTTCTATTACGCAAGTTAACAAGTTATACAGTAGCTACACAACACACCATTCGAATGGAATAATACATTGTAGCATACATCTGTAGCCTAAAACACAAAATTTAAAATACGGTTATTAGGGAAATAAGGTGTAGCTTATAGGTGATTTTTGGAAACATGCCTTAGAATGTATTCTCTTAACTAATATTCATTCATTTAAAAGCCTAGAAAAATGAAAAATAGTTGTCATGTTCGCAGAGAAGGTACCTTCGATCTCGTTTATTTACCATATGACGTCACTTAATTCGACTACACTGTAAAAATAAAATAAAGACTTTCCATTTTTTTAAGTAAGTTGCAAAAAAAAAAAGAAAAAAAAAAAAAAAAAAAAAAAAAAAAAATATATATATATATATATCATTGGAGTGTAGCCTAATTTAAAAGCATAGAATAATGAAAAACACTCCAAGGCTTCCTGTTTTTCAGTTGACAGGTTATTTAATTTTTAATTAATTAATTATTTATTTAAAACCCCCTAAAATAATGAAAATCGGTGGTCGCGTTCGATGAGAAGGTAACCATAGAAACAGTTGGCTGTTTTGAATTAAAGGGATAGTTCACCCAAGAATGAAAATGTGATGTTTATCTGCTTACCCCCAGGGCATCCAAGATGTAGGTGACTTTATTTCTTCAGTAGAACATGAACGGAGATTTTTAACTCAAACCGTTGCAGTCTGTCAGTCGTATAATGTAAGTGGATGCCGGATGGGAATCACGGCTTTGAGAGTCAAAAAAAACATACACAAACAAAACCAAATTAAACCCTGCGGCTCGTGACGATACATTGATGTGTAAAGACACAAAACGATCGGTCTGTGTAAGAAACTGAACAGTATTTATACCGTTTTTTACCTCTGATTTTCACCGCAATGTCCGAACTGTCCTGAGCGTGTTCAACAGCCGGATCGCAGAATCATAAGTGCATTACCGCCACCTATCTCTCAAGTGGATCATTGACACTCCTAATTGAGGGGAAATTCACGTCCGCCTAAAAACGCGTGGGAAACGCTAGGCGCGCCGCTTTCTGCTTTTTTTCCAAAGCGTTCGGGCGCTTGCGCTCCGGAGGCATCTGCCGTTGCTAAGCAACCATGATGCATATATATATATATATATATATATACATATATATATATATATATATATATATATATTGTTTTTTTTTTTTTTTTTTTTTTTTTTTTTTATAAAAAAAAAAAAAAAAAAAAAAAAAAAAAAAAAAAAAAATATATATATATATATATCATTGGAGTGTAGCCTAATTTAAAAGCATAGAATAATGAAAAACACTCCAAGGCTTCCTGTTTTTCAGTTGACAGGTTATTTAATTTTTAATTAATTAATTATTTATTTAAAACCCCCTAAAATAATGAAAATCGGTGGTCGCGTTCGATGAGAAGGTAACCATAGAAACAGTTGGCTGTTTTGAATTAAAGGGATAGTTCACCCAAGAATGAAAATGTGATGTTTATCTGCTTACCCCCAGGGCATCCAAGATGTAGGTGACTTTATTTCTTCAGTAGAACATGAACGGAGATTTTTAACTCAAACCGTTGCAGTCTGTCAGTCGTATAATGTAAGTGGATGCCGGATGGGAATCACGGCTTTGAGAGTCAAAAAAAACATACACAAACAAAACCAAATTAAACCCTGCGGCTCGTGACGATACATTGATGTGTAAAGACACAAAACGATCGGTCTGTGTAAGAAACTGAACAGTATTTATACCGTTTTTTACCTCTGATTTTCACCGCAATGTCCGAACTGTCCTGAGCGTGTTCAACAGCCGGATCGCAGAATCATAAGTGCATTACCGCCACCTATCTCTCAAGTGGATCATTGACACTCCTAATTGAGGGGAAATTCACGTCCGCCTAAAAACGCGTGGGAAACGCTAGGCGCGCCGCTTTCTGCTTTTTTTCCAAAGCGTTCGGGCGCTTGCGCTCCGGAGGCATCTGCCGTTGCTAAGCAACCATGGCCTGCGCTCTCCATGAAGACTCAGATGTTTCAGCAAAGGATAAATGGATTTGCAGCACTAAAAATCGCTTGCAGTAACTCTGCTACTAAATTTATTTAAAAATGGCTATCCCTGTACAGCTATGATCAGCCGTTCCTTCATCTTGGCTGAGCTTTCAATGTTGTTACGGGAAAGGATGAAGCTGATTGGTTGGTGCTTGTCACATGACCCGCGGTGCGCTTGCGGCATTCTGAAAAGTTGAAATGTTTTTATCTCGATGCGGCGTGGACGCTCCTGGAAAAAATGAGCACGTCGCACCGCGTGCGTGTCGCTTCCATTATGAGCACGCCTGCCTCCATTTGAAATAATGAACTTGAGCGTGCAAAAAACGCGATATGTGAATGGGCCCTGAGATTGTAGATAGACTTCCACTTCCATTATATGACTGACAGACTGCAACGGTTTGAGTTAAAAATCTTCGTTTGTGTTCTACTGAAGAAACAAAGTCACCTACATCTTGGATGCCCTGGGGGTAAGCAGATAAACATCAAATTTTCATTCTTGGGTGAACTATCCCTTTAAGGAACTTTGAAATCCATCGTAACATTTTAACACATGACGTCACTTAATTTTACTATACTGTAAAAAATGACTTTAAAATGTTGTAAATAAAACAAGTATCGTAGTACGTTTTACAACAAAATAGGCTACCATTTCAGCCTTTCTACTAATTTTACGTTTAATTAAATGCTATTTGCCATCTGTTTTGTGAAATTTACAAGCAATTTCTGAGTAATACCCCCCCAGTGTACTTAATATAAAAACACTTTTTGTCCGAGTTTTATCACGGTGACCTTTTAATATTATAAAACGTACCACATTTAAACTCTTTTCTCTCTCTCTCTCTCTTTCTCAATTCAATTGAATTCAAATTAGCTTTATTGGCATGACTGTGTACCATTTCAATAAATATATTATACAAACATACTGATAAATAAAAAGTATCTCTCTCTTTAGCTAATGTTCTGGAATAAACTGATAATATCTTAGACCCAATTTTGACATTTTTAGACGAGGGATTGAGTAGGTAATTCTACAGGATTTTTATTTACAATGACAGCCTAGCAATTGAAGTATGCTTAAACAGATTAAAAAATATATATATATTTTCACAAGAACATCCCAATAATATAAAATCAGATGTGAGCAAATAAGAAAACCTTCACAGACAGCAAAAAAGAGAAAAGCATGGATACAAATGCACCACTTTAACTGTAGACAAGGTTAAAAGCTCACTTGTCACATGACCCGCGGTGCGCTTGCGGCATTCTGAAAAGTTGAAATGTTTTTATCTCGATGCGGCGTGGACGCTCCTGGAAAAAATGAGCACGTCGCACCGCGTGCGTGTCGCTTCCATTATGAGCACGCCTGCCTCCATTTGAAATAATGAACTTGAGCGTGCAAAAAACGCGATATGTGAATGGGCCCTGAGATTGTAGATAGACTTCCACTTCCATTATATGACTGACAGACTGCAACGGTTTGAGTTAAAAATCTTCGTTTGTGTTCTACTGAAGAAACAAAGTCACCTACATCTTGGATGCCCTGGGGGTAAGCAGATAAACATCAAATTTTCATTCTTGGGTGAACTATCCCTTTAAGGAACTTTGAAATCCATCGTAACATTTTAACACATGACGTCACTTAATTTTACTATACTGTAAAAAATGACTTTAAAATGTTGTAAATAAAACAAGTATCGTAGTACGTTTTACAACAAAATAGGCTACCATTTCAGCCTTTCTACTAATTTTACGTTTAATTAAATGCTATTTGCCATCTGTTTTGTGAAATTTACAAGCAATTTCTGAGTAATACCCCCCCAGTGTACTTAATATAAAAACACTTTTTGTCCGAGTTTTATCACGGTGACCTTTTAATATTATAAAACGTACCACATTTAAACTCTTTTCTCTCTCTCTCTCTCTTTCTCAATTCAATTGAATTCAAATTAGCTTTATTGGCATGACTGTGTACCATTTCAATAAATATATTATACAAACATACTGATAAATAAAAAGTATCTCTCTCTTTAGCTAATGTTCTGGAATAAACTGATAATATCTTAGACCCAATTTTGACATTTTTAGACGAGGGATTGAGTAGGTAATTCTACAGGATTTTTATTTACAATGACAGCCTAGCAATTGAAGTATGCTTAAACAGATTAAAAAATATATATATATTTTCACAAGAACATCCCAATAATATAAAATCAGATGTGAGCAAATAAGAAAACCTTCACAGACAGCAAAAAAGAGAAAAGCATGGATACAAATGCACCACTTTAACTGTAGACAAGGTTAAAAGCTCATGATTTATTGTTACAGAATATTATGCAATACAGACAGGTTCACAATAAAGACTGACAGCTAAATGGATTCAACTTCTGTTCCAAAGGAAATTCATGTAAATAGAAACTGAGTGAATCAACACTCAAGTTATATCCGTCAACCATTGATTCTTGACATGATAAATTCATGTAAAAATACAGACTGAATTACAGTAATACAACAGCATGATCAGAGAGGAGTTAGACACAAGATAAACTGATAAGCTACCACTAAATATTGTAGAAACTTAATTTGCTGTAAAGTTGCTTTGCAACGATTTGTGAAAAGCGCTATACAAATAAACTTGAATTGAATAAACTGACTTTATACCTTTTTGCTCTTGTTTTTCTTTCTTTTGTGTTCTACAGAACACAGCAGGCATTCTACTACATATTTTCCACAGAAGAACGGCATTAAGGATGAGTAAATTATGACATTTTTTTTTTACAACAACTTCCCCCTCATAGTATTTTTTTAAGAATTGCACACTTGCCGTGTGAACCTTTTTGTAAGTTGCTCTATGGAAGCATCTGCTAAATGCTTCACCTTGAATGTTACAGTATAAGCAACTGCTATTATTATAAAGGCATATAAGATGAGATGAGATCTCATTAAATGGTCCTGTTGTCTTTATCTGCATTCAGGATGTTAGTATATCGGTCCAGCTCACTGATCAGCTCGGAGGCTTCTGGTCTCTCGTCAGGACTGGGACTCAGCATTCGATCTATGAGCTTGTGCTGTTTCAACAACCATGAAAAACGAGTCCGCATGTCAGGTATTGATCAGCTTTGAGTAAGTGATCATAGCAGGCTAATATTTAAAATGATTGATAATTGATTGACCAATTGATAATTTTAGCACAATAGCACTTGCACCAAAGAAAACCATGTTCAATTTCAACATCGTCACTAATGAAATTACACTCACCTCAAAGTTACATTTCTTGGAGAACTGTGATGGAAAATCCCTACTTCTTATATCATCCCAAATCTAAAAGTCACAAAGTATAAAAAAAAATTACTTCAATATTTATACATTGCAAAAAATATTATTTGTGATACTCAGTATTTTTGTCTTGTTTTCTAGTACAATTATCTAAACATTCTAAAATGTAGATACATTCAGAAGCAAAATCACTTGAGATATGAAGTCTTGTTTTATTAAAAACTTTATACAAATATTTTTTTTGCTAAAAAAAATAAAATAAAAGTTTTCCCTTTTAATTAAGTTTATTTTTTCTCACCCCACTGGCAGATATATGTTCCTGTTTTAAGCATAAATTTTAATATTATAATATTTAACTGGGAATTTTTCAGAAAATAAAACTTAATATCTTAAGTCATTTTGGTTCTCGAGTAAATGTACCTTGACTTAAGAATGTTTAGATGTTTGTACTAGAAAATGACAAAAATACTAAGAAAATCATTCTTTGTAGTGTAACATATCAGACACTTACATGTAGATTAAATTTTCGTGTTCAGGATGAATACATCGATTGTATTATTATATAAGAGACTAAAAGATGAATCAAACCTTTTTCCTTTCATGCAACGTGAAGAGATTCCAGATGAGTTCAAAATAAATGAGACCCAGAGCGTATATATCCACCTTTCTGTCATACGATGTTTGATTCGCCTAAATATTCAGTTTAAAAACAGTGAAATCTTCAGCATTACACTCACATAAAACACACTTACATATTACAATCTCATAGTACCTTCAGTGAGATAGATTCTTATTTACTTTGTAAACACATATTCCTCACAATTTTACTGTGCATGTTTTATTATTGTGCATGAACATTCCAATTTAAATGAAATATGCAAAATTACAGTCAAGTAAAATGGTTTATGAACAGCAGGTCAAATTCTAATGTATGTCTCCTGACTCACCTGTTCTGGGCTCATGTAAATACGGGTTCCTGTCCTTTTAGTCCGTTCCAGCAGTTGCTGGTCATTGTCATTTTCTGCTGCGGTCACGAGGCCGAAGTCTCCAACCTTTACTGTTCCCTCACTGCTGAACATTATGTTCAAAGGCTGAAACGAAGAAACAGGAGAGAGTGATCAAAACAGCGTCAAACCAGGACTCTAGTGGAATTCAGAAGTCAGGAATTCCTTTTCAATTCAAGGTTATTATCGTTAACGAAAACTGAAATAAAAAACATTTCCGTTACTTCAAAATTTATATATATATATATATATATATATATATATATACAGTGGGTGGGTTTTGACAAATTTCACGGTTCGATTCGATTCTCATTCACAAGCTTGCGATTTGATTGATTTGATTGGATTCAATAACGATTATTTTGGATATATATCTAGTACACATGCAACATTTTCTCAATGAAAAAAAAATTCTTAACTGATGCTGTAAAATATACATGAGAATCAGCTAAAATAGAAAAAAACTATAATAGTACATAACACTGATTCTTATTTACTCCCTTAATTAAAAAATAATGAGGAAGATAATGATTTTGCCGTACTGCAGCATGTAATGCAATGATCTTATGAACTTAAGACTTTCTGCTCCAATTTAAGACCTTTTTAGGGGGTTATTTATGGAAGGTTGAACAATTTTGAATCTAAATTCTAACCATTTTTGATGATAAAACATACTAAGATTATAAGCGCACCTCAGAAGGAAACATTATAAAATAATTTAAAAATGCATTTCATGACCACTTTTTAACATCCAGTAAGGTGCGACCAATTTGATTTACCGACTTGTGACCGTGGACCACAAAACCAGTCATAAGGGTCAATTTTTCGAAACTGAGATTTATACATCATCTGAAAGCTGAATAAATAAGCTTTCCGTTGATGTATGGTTTATTAGGATAGAACAATATTTGGCCAAGATACAACTATTTGAACATCTGGAATCTGAGGGTGCAAAAAAAAATAAAATAAAAATGTTGAGAAAATAATCTTTAAAGTTGTCCAAATGAAGTTCTTAGCAATGCATATTACTAATCAAAAATTAAGTTTTGATATATTTACGGTAGGAAATGTACTAAATATCTTCATGGAATACATGAATGTATTGTTGGCTATTGCTACAAATATACCCGTGCAACTTATGACTGGTTTTGTGCTCCAGGGTCACATTTTAGTGAGCTGCCCACCTTCAGGTCTCTGTGGATCAAGCCCTCTTTGTGGATGTACTCCACGGCCTTCAGCACCTGCCTGTTGATCTGTGCTGCCTCCGTCCTCCTTTCTGGGTCATGAACATTTGAAGAGTTTCTTTTATAAATCCAGGCATGAAGCGTGTCTCCCTCACAAAACTCCATCTGAATGTAGAGGAACTTTGTTCCCGGGTCACTGCCAGAACTAAAGCCAGCACACAGAGAGAGCAGCACAAATATACGTTACAGCTGGTTGAAGGTAGAGACTGCAGTTTGTTTCAGAAAGAGTTGTTTTTGGTGATTTACTCTGAGAGGCTATAGCTCTCTGAAGAATCGTGTCTGTACGTCGTGTCTTCGACCCAACATGAGTAGTAGCGGACGATGTTGGCGTTATTAAACTTAGCCAATGCACCGACCTCACGACGAGCTTTTCTAGGGAAATACAGTATATGACATTATATTAGGTACATTGCTGTATATTTTGTTTTAAAACCTAGATATACATACTTTTTTGGCCATCATAGGCACACAACCACTGTAAAGGCAATCTAAAATGGCAGGTATTGGGATGATGTATCCTATAGGACACACATCAAGTTTTTGCAACTATCAAATTACATTAATTATTTAAAGACAAAGACGATATAACAACTTCATTGACTTACTTTGTACTCTTCACTATCTTCACTGCATAATATGTGTTCTCAAGCTTTCGTCTTGCCTTGAAAACACGGCCGAAGCCACCTTTGCCAATTGGATTTATTGAGTCAAAGTCTTCTAAAAACCTACAAAGATGAACATAGCAGCTTGGATGGATTTCTAAAGGAAAAAAGCTTTTTGAAAGCTATGCTGACTGACACAAAGTAAGCGGGTTATGATTCACCTTGACTTCGTAGCTTGGTTTGAAGTTTGACCTCCAGATGGCTTTGCTGGGTTTTGTACATTCATGTTAGGACCAACCTGTGGAAAGTATTGGAAGAAGAAATATTCTAGAAATAAGTCAATAGAAGAAAAACGTTTTTTTCTTGCGTTTGGAGAATTTTGGAACTGGCTTTATAAAAACATCCTATTTATATTTTTTATACAAATTTTTATGGAAGCCAATTTCTGCCAGATAAGAAAAAAAAGCTTTGATAAATCCTAATAATGATATAAACAGTCATAATTATGAGATTAAAAAGTCGATATTATTATATTAAAAGGTTACAATTATGATATAAAAAGGCATAATTATGAGAGGTGTATATTATGGTACTAAAAGGGTAAAATTATGACAAAAATAACCTATAAACTTAATTTTTGTCATAATTTTGCCTTTTTCGCCATAAATTTGTCTCATAATATTGATTTTTTAAAATCTAATAATTATAACTTTTTATCTTGAAATTTTGATTTGTCATAATTATGATTTACCATTTTTTTTCTTATGTAGCGGAAATGAGCTTTCACACCCGTTGAACTGGCCTCATTTTACAACATATTTTTTTTGCATTTATCTATTAATTTTGCAAACATTACTTTAGGGAGGATACTCATAAAGTAAAACATACATGTCCCAAACTTCACATGCGTATATATTTTCAGTCTTTGTATTTTTCATTTGTCACAGAAAATGCAACTTTCATAACTTCATTCTGTTTTACTTTACAGTTCAGCTAATACTGTTTTGTACTCATTTACTTCACCATTATTGGCAAATAATGTTGCAATACCTCTTTACTCCCGGCCAGGCCATTTGGTGACAGATGAAAATTTGGTGCTAATCTAAAAGAAAATTTTTTTTTTAGCATGTTATTTTATGTCATTAATGACTGAAAAAAAAAAATTATATACATAAAAACAAAATCTAAAAATGCTTACTTTATTTTGGGCTTCACATCCAGTGGACTCGCACTCTGTAACAAGATTGATTTCATAAGTTTTTCAAATATATATAATACAATGAAATGTGTTTATGTTTTTTGAATCGGATAGCCTCTAATATATTAGTGTGTAAAACCCGTGAATATAAAAAAAAAAAATGCAAATGCTACCAATAACGCAAACAGGACTTACAGGACTTATGGCCATTGGAGAACTGACAGCAGATGAGTCTTTGAAGACAATGGAAGAACTTGAGCTGGGAGTTTCAGACGAGCTTTTTGAGGAGTGTTGTGCATCCTGAGATTTACTATGAAACAGATAAACAGTAAACGTCAACATATCTTTATATTATTATATGCACATAATATATACTTATATAAAGATGCATTGTTATTTTGTTCATTTAAACTTACGATGTCTCTTGAGTTTGTGAAGAGCTGTCATTTTCAGAACTCTGTTAATTCAAAACATGCATGTGCATTAATAAACATGACATCATTAACATCAAACATATCTGTATTTCTGAAGCGTCTTGCCTGTGTGGTCCTTCCAGATTGCTCATTAATTTCGCTCCAAGCGTGCTGAGCAGCATGTTGCTTTGCCTCTTTTGCGCTCTTTCCTTGTCCTTCAGGGTATTCCTTCCCGTCTATGACAACTTTATATACAAACCTGAAAAAGAACATTTTCAGTTTTTCGTTTTCAACTCAAACGAATCTGCAGAGTTCAAGACTTACTCAGGGTTGTGAGGAGGGCCTCGTTTCTCCACTAATTTGAAATCAAGTGCATGTTTATATTTCTGGCTGTAGTTATTGAGAAGTGCTATGTAGTTGCTGTCAGGGACGGTGCTTCGAGATTCATCAGCAAAACTCAAACTGGCACGGTCCAGGCTAGCACTTGAATAAAGGACAAGAAGTCAACATTAACAGCACGATATAGAGTATAGTAATTAAAGGAATAGTTCAGCCAAAAATGAAAATTAACTGAAAATGTCATCACCCTCAGGCCATCCAAAATGTAGGTGAGTTTGTTTCTTCATCAGATTTGGAGAAATGTAGCACTGCATCACTGTCTCAGCAATAGATGCTCTGCAGTGAATGGGTGCCGTCAAAATGAGAGTCCAAGTTACACCACAATAAAGGATGCATATCACTCTGTCCCATGGGCAGCTTTGGGGCTCTCTGATCACTGTTTAGTTTATCTTATACCGACCTACAGGCAGAAACTGAAATCAGCTAAACCTTTATTAAGGGCTGTAAAAAGATGGACTACTGAAGCAGAGCGGGATTTACTAGCCTGTTTCGACTGCACTGACTGGAGTGTTTTTGAAGTTGCAGCCACAGATCTGGATGAGCTCACGGAGACTGTAACTTCATATATCAGTTCCTGTGAGGATATTTCACATTGACTCTATTGTGAAAAAGGCCCAGCAGAGGCTGTATTTCCTCCGCCATCTGAGGAAATTCAACCTGCCACAGGAGCTGCTGAAACAGTTCCTCTGCTATCATTGAGTCTGTCCTGTGTTCATCCATAACTGTCTGGTTTGGTTCAGCTACAAAATCAGGACTGCTGAGATGATTATCGGTGCCCCTCTGCCCAGCCTCCAAGATCTTTACATCTCCAGAGTGAGGAAAAGGGCTAAGAAAATCACCTTGGACCCCTCACACCCAGCCCACTCTCTCTTCCAACTGTTGCCTTCTGGTCGGCGCTACAGAGCACTGAGCACCAGAACAGCCAGGCACAAGAACAGTTTTTTCCTGCAGGCTATATTCAGCCTGAACAATTAAACTTTCATAATTATACATCGTCCATCACAACTGACATATTTATACACAGAGTCTAAAATTTGTACACTTGTAAACTGCACACTTTGTAAATAACATATCTGCACGCTTATAACATATCTTTACATTTATTTAAACAATTACATTTTTTTCATGTTCTTATATTTCTGTATATAGTACATTATTTAATTTCAGTTTTTTTCTTATATTAGTGTTATATTCCATCCCTACTGTGTTATTCCTGCACTACGTCTGTATTTTCTTCTACACTGGAAGCTTCTGTCGTCAAGTCAAATTCCTTGTGTGTGTAAACATACTTGGTAATAAAGCTCTTCTGATCCTGATCTGATGAAGAAACAAACTCATCCTAATCTCGGATGGCCTAAAGTGTGAGCACAATTTTAAATATAAGTCAATTACTGTTAGTCATCATGATGTTGTTTATCATTTACCTACGAGACGCAACCTCTGACATCTGTGTTCGATTGCTGTTGTCATTGAAGACCTTAAATGCCAAAAAATAAAAATAAAATGTCTAACAAAAAATAAATTAGAGCATTAGACAGTCCAAGTAGATAAATGCTGTGTCACCTCTGCATCTTGTGTTTTGAGTAGCTCTTCATAAACACATTTTGCCGCTGCTTCTTTAGCATCCTTCTTATTATTTCCATAAGCCTCGGGAAACTCTCTAACACCACAAACGTACTTACAAACATAAGTACCCAATCTGCAAAAGAGATGAGAGAATTAAATGTCATTTCTTCTTCACATTTTAATTTAAAAGGTACTGTACTTTTCTATCTTTTCTCAGCATGTGTGCAAACGTTTAAATACTCACTGAGCAGTGTTTCCTGGATTTGTGGACTCACAAGCCTCGAATAATAACTTGTTCTTCATTGAATATTCATTGAGCCAGCAAATATAATTTCTCTGAGATACAGTCATATTGTTGGGAGTGTTTTGAACAGATGACGTTGTCTGCAGTTAAAGATATATATATTAATTTTAAACAAATTATCTAGAATCTAGAACATAATTATTATAACAAAATATTATGAAATATGAAATTTGGTAACACTTTACAATAAGGGCCCATTAGTAATGCATTAATTAACAGTGAGCAATACTGTTGTTACAGTATTTATTAATGTTCATTAACGTTAGGTAATAAAACTATTCATTGCTTGTTCATATTAAAAATGAAAGGAATGAAAGTAACGTGTGGCCAAGTATGGTGTCCCATACCCAGAATTTGTGCTCTGAATTTCACCCATCCAAGTGCGCGCACACACACACACACACACACACACACACACACAC